TGTGCGGCATAAAAGACAAAGGCCCTTATTTGTGCTCGTGTAGAAGCCTAAAGCTCACCTATCTGTACAAATGGCAAAATAAATTGTTTCATCAGTTCTTGTGGGTATTTGTGTATTTTTATGCATCAAGCTGTTTGATGTGTAACAAATAAAGAACACATTCTTTCTTTTCACTGACATTAAATGTCACTTTGACTGCAACAACATATAAAAAGCTAATTTCAAATGTTCCTCATCAATTATAAAAATTTAACTGCCATCACAAGAAAAAATAAAAACTATTTAGTCTGATTACTCAGTCCACGTCATAAAGCTAGGAGCTGATGCACATTTGTGCATGTGCAAATAAGAACAAATACTAAACGACTTCACCAACTGGAACAAATCTCACACTAGGCTCAGAACAACCACGAGAGCTTTGATATATTCATTTCATACTCGTGTATAAATCAGTAAAACTATTGCTGTTCTTACTGACTTTCGAGTGCTGCAGACATCAAAGAAAATAGAAAAGAAAGGGGAGGGGAAAATGGATACTGCTCTTCAGTCTGTCATTCTCAAGCAGCAAAACACCTTGTGTTTATTCTCTTTGTTATGGGCATCAGGTAAAACTCTTGACCTCCATTTTACCTCAATAAACCATCCTTACATTTTAAGCAGCAGCAGAGAAGCTTTCTGAATGTCTATGAGGCAGAAAGGAGCTGCTTTATAAACAACACAGGGCTGCTGCTGCCAGCCAACAGATGAAGTGACAAGACAGAGGCCGGGCTGCGAAAACAATAAGTGCTTCTGGCTTCTTCTTCTTCTACTTACTTCACTGTGGTTGAGATACGCAGGTGCCTGATTCCAGGAGTTGGGAACTGGCGGGAGTTTAAGTAGGAGATGTGCTGCATGACCTTGTCAAAGGCATCGATGTCGTCACCTTCCACAGTCAGAGAGGACTGGTTGGGGTTGAATTCCACCTGAGAGAAGAAAACAAGGTGAGGGATTTGTGAATAACATGACCTGTGACTGATGCTGAGCTAACAAACATAAACAATCCTTTCAAGCATCAGTCCTGGAGAACCACTTAAAGTAATTCATTCAGCAAAAATGCAACTTTTGAGGTAAATATTCTCCAAAAGTTGCAGGTTTAAGATTAAAAATGGTTGTTTTTTTTATTTGGTTGGATGTTACGAACCACAGTTCATTACTTGAGCGAGCTGTCAAATGATTTAAAAAAAGATTCACATCACAAACTCAAAGCTTTCTTTGCCCTCCTCACCTTGATAGCTGAAGCTACCTCCTCAGGCAGCTGCACGTCCAGTCCTTCTTTGCACGTGTACAAACAGTCGATCACCTTCTTGTTCTCCAGCTTGCCGGTGCGGATAATCAGCCCCGCTAGGTTACCGCGGAAAAACTGCGCCATTCGAGCATTTCCACCTGGTTTCCAAGACAACACATAGAAGTTATTTAGGGGGTAGATTTCACAGGCTTCACCTTTTCTGAGCTGGAGCTTCAAGCATGCTGTCTCACTGTACAAAACTGGCGTGAATGGAGTTCATGCAAGTTAGTATGTGTGCCCTTCAAAAGGCCCGAAGCCCAAAGAGCAAGACAGGCAAATGATTGATGAGCTTATGCACGCCAGCGGCAGCATGCAACGCTTGCATTAAAAGGGTGAACGGCTTACTGTGGAAAAAAATGACATCAACAAGAAAAAAAAAAAGAAACTCAAAGAAGGGATTACATAAGATAATGATGAATTAATCCTCTTTAGTCACCTCATTTTCACTAAATAACAGAGCCATCTTGAGGACCGCAAAATGCTCATGATCTGAAATTTGGAGTCCTGACATTTCGAGAGAGGTACGCCACTCCTGTCTTCCAGCTACATCATAATGAGCATTAGTCTGCACCACTGCGGAGTCAGCAACAAACTCTACATCTCAAGGTCGCGTATTCATCCACTGATGTGTGTGCGCGCTTCTGCTGCAGGTTTGTTATCTGATACAGAGGAGCTACTGCTTCCAGCCTCAAGGTCAAGCTCTGAAAGAAAAGCCAGCATGGCTGAACGGCTGCAGCTGGATCGGACTCTTGACTTGTTATAGATTTATCTGCGATCTGCTGGTGTATCAAATGTTGGGGGAAAAATAAAAAAATAAAAAAAAAAACAACAACAACTGCGTAGCTTTTGCAGTTAGAAGAGAAAATAAAATACATGGGAGTCAGGCGCCACTGAACATCAATACTGCAACAAAACAAATTATTTTTGCATCTAGAATGGGTAGGAATCATTCTAGTCTTAATGGAATGAGGATGCAATTAGCATGGTGGGACATTGTGGACACATGGACATGTCTGAGGAGTAAGGGAAAGACGTGAGCAACCTGAACTGGGCTCAGAGACTGTCTCAGTGTCATTGTCATGTCCTGAGTTTTCTGTAAAGGACAGAAACAAGAGAGCAGGAAGAGACAGGGAGGAAGGTTGAGGATCTGGAGGAGAGATTCAGATGCTACATACGAGGTCACGTCATTAATATTACAAAGAGTTAATACGCCATTGGCTGAATATAAAGTAATAGTTTATGTCATGTCGCATGAACACAGTTTTAACTCTTTCTAATAGAGTATCAAACACACAAAAGAAGAACTCAGAAGAACTTGTGTTTCAATACAATGCATATAAATGATATAAATGTCAAAAAAGAGAGCTCTCCAAAAATCAGTTACACGGTTTACCTTGCCAGCAGGCACCAATCGTGAGCTGAGTTTCTATCTTGGAGGCGTGCAGTGGGTAGTCCTCCGTAACCAGGAAGGGCTCAAAGGTAGTCCCATCCACAAAAACAGAAACAGTGGGGAACTCCACATTAAGCACATAGTGATGCCACTCTTTGTCACACACCTGGAAAGATGACAGCAGGAGGAGTGAAAAACTGAAACCTGATTTTTTTATTATTATTATTTTAACTTTATGTGCCGCCTCATGCTGTGCACTGGCACAAAGTTGAGTTTTGGAAGCAGCGGACCTGGTCGAGCTTCCAGTGAAACTCTGCGGGTTTATAGTTCTCTGCCTCAGATGGCTCCTGGCGTAGGAGAAAGATCAGCCTGCAGTTGTGGACGTAGAGCGAGTAGTGGTGTCTGTTCATCTCTGCAGAGAAGAAAACGACAGAAGAGATCAGGATGAGAAACTGTAACTCTAAAATATTCAACAATTCCCCTTGTGGGATAAATTAAATATCTGACTATCCATGGAAATGTGTAGCAATGTATTTGTAGAAAATATCTCAATCTTCTTAAGAAACCATAACAAATGTGTTTTCTTGATGATTCTCCAGGTAAAACTGAACTCTTGTGCTCCAGCTCAGTGTCGAAATCTGTAATCTGTCAGAACACTAAGTGTTGAGAAGGCGTGGACTGAATACAGGCCCTTCTAGCAGCCTCTCTCTATTAAAAAAAATCACTATGTGGCTGTAATATGCACAGTGTGGTTTAGCAACGCCTTACTGCAGCGGTCCCCAACCTTTTTTGCGCCACGGACCGGTTTATGCCCGACAATATTTTCATGGACCGGCCTTTAAGGTGTCGCGGATAAATACAACAAAATAAAACTAGTACCAGTACCGAAAAAAAGAAAATTTATTCATAACACACGTGAAAAGACCAAGGAAAACCAAGTAAACGATAAAAACGATAACAAAATAACGCTGAAAACCGATAAAAACCCTTAAAACTATACATTTCACACCTGAGCCTCAATTCTCGCGGCCCGGTACCAAACGACTCACGGACCGGTACCGGTCCGAGGCCCGGGGGTTGGAGACCGCTGCCTTACTGGAATTAGCAAAACCTCAGGAGAAAACAGAAAAGAATGCCTGGATGGGATTTTACAGACTGACGCAATACCTGTGAACATTATTTAGCATTAATGGTGCCCTCATATGTATGTAGCCATGCATCTAAAACATCAGTACAATGAGTGTGCTGATAGAAATGGATGGTCCTTAAATACCCTGATTCATGGATACATAGATTATGTATTTTTTTTTTAAATCTTGTCTTGTATCTTCACAATTACTCTTAAAATGCTGAACTATTTGCCCACATAGTCTCTCACAGAGTGGTCATCCTCTCCTTGTATCTGATTCTGAAAGATTCGTCCTTTATAGGAAGGTTGTTGTTTTTTGGTAACCAATTAACACTTATTAGTACACCATCAAACTGACACAAAGGTGGTTGTAGCTAAGGAGGCAGACCAGGTCATCTACTAATCAGACGTTAGGTGGTTCAGTCCCTCACTGCTCTGCATGCCAAAGTATCCTTGGGCAAGATACTGAACCCTAGGTTGTTCCTAATATGTTGATTGTAGTGTGAGCGTTAGATGCAAGTGCTTGCATGAATGCAGTTGTGAATGGTCTACGTTAGATAAAGTGCCAATGCAGAGTAGAAAAACACCACATAAGAAACAGTCAATTTATCATTAACATGAAGCAAAAATAAAAATTTTAAAATATGGTTTAAATGATTGCAAATAAATTTCAGTTTTACATGGTTCTGTAAAGCTAAAGCAAAATGAGATTCGTCTTTCTGTTCCAGACTCTGCTGAACAAAGGTCACAAATGACCCATGATCTCATGGGTATGGGAGCTTCCTGTCCAGGCCACAGCCCTGATGTAATCCTCCTTATATAAGCAGCTGGGCCGAAGCTGATGAACTGGCTCCCCGTCACTGGCCACGGCAGAGACTTTACAGTCCGTAAGATCAAGGAGCTTGTGACCGTGGAGAAAATTTACAACTACTGTCAAAATGGAAAGGTCAGCAAGCGCTCAGCGGGATGTGAGAAAGAAATTAACAAGGAATCACGTTTCCATGTGTTAGACCACCAGCTGAGCACAAACACTGATTATAGCCTGAAGTTTCAATGGTAGGGCTTTTTTTGTTTTTAATTACAGGATCTCTTCAGACACCATATGTGCACCAATAATCAGCATCCGCCAGATATTTTAATAGCACAGTTTTGAGATTAATGAGTCCATGTGCCATGCTTATTATATGTATGAAACAAGATGCTCTGTCCTACAAAACTCTTCGAAACCTTCTGTTCCAAGATTTTTATTAATATTTCATGCCAGCGTTACAGTATTATTTGATCTTATCATGCAATTGGCGAATGGATGCACTTTATTACATTAGGAAAGGTGAAAATTGGGTAGTGCATGTCATTTATATGCTAAAAACAAGGCATTTTTGCCTTTTGCTAGGTGGTTTATATATAATGATCTAGCATATATAATTAAACTTTTATGGCTATTTGTATGATTTTACTGGAATTACAACAATAGGGACATCAAGGTGGTACAGCAGTTAGCACTGCAGCCTTACAGCAAGAAGGCTCAATTCCACTGTGTGGAGTTTGCATGGGTTTTCTCCGGGTACACTGGCTTTCTCCCACAGTCATGCAGTTAGTGGGGTTAGGTTAATTGTTGAATATAAATTGCCCATAGGTGTGAATGTGAATGAGAATGATTGAGAGTCTCTATGTGTCCAGGGTACACCCTGGACAGACTGGCAACCTTTCCAGGGTGTATCTTATTATAAAGCTAAATCTTCAATTAAAGTGGACTGACAGGAAGATTTAATCTATACAGTGAGTCAGTTATCTTTTACCCTTTTTAACAGTTGAATAATAGTTGGAGCCTTTAAATACGCATGTTTATTTTATTCACAATAAGCTGTGACTCCTACCCGTTTTGTCAGAGTTGCAGAGGATGGTCTCCTTCTCGTGGGCCCCAGGGCCGTGTCTCATCCACACAGAAATGGTGAAGGGGTCCTTCAGGCTGGTGCTCACCATACCATTAGGAACCTTAATGGCCTGGGTGCCATTAAATTCAAACACCTGATCGCTGTCGTGGCCGTTATCGGTTGGCAGCCCTACGGTCCAGTTAGCAGAGCTGCTGGGAGCAGGAAGGAGCTCCACAGTGCCGGAGCTGGCTCCTAATAAAGAAAGATGGTGTACTTACTTGTATGTGGCTCACAGAGTTATAAAACAACTACTGACAAGAACCATTTCCAGCTCCTTACCACACAACTTATGCAGAGACTTCTCAGAGTAGGTGTCACGATCACAGCCCTTTCCAATATGGTTGGTTTCCAGTTCAATACTGGCCCGGATGGACGTGATTGGCTCATCACAGGTCTCCAAGTGCATGCTGGGGAAAAGGGCCAAACTACCAGTGCCAGGCTCGTATTCAATCCTCTTATTGAAGCCTGAAAAAGAAGCAGAGAGAGTAAAAAGCATTAAAAGATGTTATTTAATTAAAAGCCTTTTTAATACTAATCACTCATTAAGAAGTATTCCTCTTCTTTTGAGTTTGAATGAGGCCTTATAGTTTAAAGGAGTTCAATTATCCTCTGAGCCTTTTGGACTGCATCAGTGATCATTTATATTCAACACAAAAGACACAACTTAACAGTGATGGCTGGCGAGCGACAACAAAGGAGGAGAGCTTTCGTACCTTGCCAGCTGGGCTTGCAGGTGGGCTTGACGCTGATCTTCACCAGCACGTCCTCAGAGGCTCGGTTCTTTCCGCAGTCGTAGGCGGTCACGGTCAGTTTATACATGCGCTCTTTGCCATAGCTCAGTTTTTCTGTGTTCTTGATAAAGCCTGAACAGAGCAGGTGGGGGGAAAATGTAATTTTAATAGAAGGACCATTCTTTGTTTAACTTCAAAGCTGCGGCTGTGCTAAAATTGGCAGAGTTATCGGTAGGTGTAGAAATCCTCAAAGCACTAAAACATTACGCGTTTCAAACAGAATTATAGAGTAAAGACTATTTAAAAAACAAAAGGGAATTTATCGACAAGCCAAACAATAAACTGATGGACCACTCTTAGGATTCATAACATTTTGAATTGAGATGCTGTACTGAGAGTTATTTTCAAAGCTTTTGTGTATGCAGAGTCTCACAATTAAAGTGAAATTAAAGAGTCACTGAGAATATTATTACTCCTAATATTATTACCCATCTTTATTTTAATTTTTTTAGTTAGGCATTATAATCGTCAGAGTTTGAAAACTGGGTCTTGACTTTTTCTAGGGCTGCTCAATTAATCGAATTTTAATCTCGATTACGATCTGGGCTTTCAACGATCATTAAAAATG